GCTTTGTGTCTGGAGTKAAGCTCWGTATCAAGCACTTAACCTTTTTGGCGCTTAAGGCATAATCTTCCATGGAATAGAGCGCGGGCTCTACATGTGTAACACTTGGCTMTTRACTAAGAACTCTATCTCTTGATGTCTTTTGTATAAGAGCTCTTGGTCTAGACTGCTTCAATAGACTAAGTCCTACAGACTAGAGTAAGAGACTTCTTCCTTACACTTTTAGAAGATGGGGTCTAGCAGAATATTCTTAGTCTATACAGCATACAACGGATTCAAGGTTTATCAGATGGACGTCAAGTCTGCCTTTCTAAATGGAAAATTACAAGAAGAAGTCTATGTTCAGCAACCCCTGGGTTTTAAAACTCCAAACATCCAGAGTACGTCTACTTTATGGATCAAGCTCTCTATGGGCTTAAACAAGCACCCAATGCCTGGTATGAAACTATCTTTACTTTTCTTACAACCAATGAATTTGAAAAAGGTACAATCGACACAACTCTCTTTGTCAAAGGACAGAAAGGTGATATTTTACTTGTCCAAATATATGTAGACGACATTATATTTGGCTCAACTAACTCCAAATTTTGTGAAAAATTCTTTGACCTAATGAAAAACAAATTTGAGATGAGCATGATGGGGGAACTAAGTTTTTTTCTGGGTCTTCAAATAAAACATACGTCAGAAGGAATTTTCATCAATCGTTCCAAATATGTGACTAACCTTTTGAAAAAAATATAATCTCTCAAATTCATCATCTATGAGAACTCTAATGCGCACAAAAGCAAAGTTGTACTTTGATCAATCAGGCAAGCTATAGATGTAACAACATACAGAGGCATGATTGGGTCACTCCTGTACCTCACAACTAGTAGGCCAGATATAATGTTTGCTACTTGTCTTTGTGAAAGATATCAAAAAAATCCTAAAGAATCTCATATTTGTGCAGTTTAGAGGATCTTTAGATACTAAAAGGAACCCCTTCCTTGGGTCTCTAGTATCCAAATAACTCTGGCTTTGAACTAATAGCCTATATAGATGCAGATCATGCAGGGTGCAAGCTTGATAGAAATAGTACGTCTGGGAGCTGTCAACTTTTGGAAGACAAGCTAGTTAGTTGGACATCCAAAAAACAAAATTGTGTCTCAACATCTACAGCAGAAGCAGAGTATTTTGTTGCTGCTAGTTGTTGTTCACAGGTGCTCTGGATGAAAAGTCAACTAAAGGATTATGGGTTCCATTATGTGAAAATCCTCATCCTCTGTGACTCCAAAAGTGCAATAACAATATCTACAAATCCAGTGCAGCACTCCAAGACAAAGCATATTGATGTATGGTACCATTTTCTCAAAGACCACATAGAAAAGGGAACCATAGAGATATACATTGTTCCCACAGATATTCAACTTGCTGAGAAAAGATTTATTTTTCTTGTTAGCAAGATGGGTATGTTGAATTACACTACTTAAGTCAGATCATCCATCAAGCCAGAAATTTTCTATATCTCGAGGTTTTGCTGAAAATGATATATTATGGCCCATGAAAACAAATATTTTATACTAGAGCCCTTGGATAATTCAAAACACTTGTATTTCTTTAGGCCACACATTTTACTCATTGGAACCAAAGCTCCTCTGGTCCAAAGCAGGGTTTTGTCTTAACACTTGCACCACTCATCGAGCAGGGCCTCTGGTTCTTAAGACCAGAGCCTCTGGATTCAAGGTATTAAGGACCAGAGCTCCTCTGGTCCCACTTACTCTCCATATTTCCATTTCCCCTTATACAACACTTGATTTTTTTATCATTTTATGTAACCATAACTTCTGGTTCAATAAACCAGAGCCTCCGGATCACATGTTTTTTGAACAAAATCCATGACTTGTCAAAATCCAAGTCTTCTATGGACAAAGCCATCACCTTATTACAACCAGAGACCCTYTGGTTGTAGTAAGCAGACTTTCTTGATGGTCCAAAGGAATCGTGGTATAGCCTTCTAGGTGTCATTTTTTAAGACCAGAKCTACTRGTTCTAAAGACTAGAGTCTCTGTTTTTCATTCTTTTAGGACCAGAGACCCTCTGGTTCTATGGACAAYCCCCCWWTTTCACCAAGTCTTCATCCCAATACCGTCCTTCACAACTAGAGCCTCTGGTTGTATAGACCATAGCCTCTGGCTTTTAAAAACCTCCCTATTCTTGGTCTTGGGGGAGTTTTTTAATCTCTCCCAACCCCAAGCTCATTTTCAGGGGGAGAAAGTATACCTATAAGGGRTCAAAAGTAAACCATCAACATTGTGGTTGTCCTTCACTATCATCCAGAGGACCTCTAGCTCACTCTCTTGATTTCTAATGTAGCATTAAGGCCACCTAGAGCCTCTGCTTTGTCTATCCAGAGTCTCTTGACTACCTCAATGCTTAAACTTGGATAACTTTGATCTTCATTCACAACCAGAGCCCCTCTGGTATATCTAATAGATCAACCAGAGCCGCTCTGGTTCCTCTTCTAAGGTCAACTTTTTTCTTTATTGGGTTTAAATGATCAGCTAAAGCCTATGGTTTGTCTATCTAGGGCCTCTGTCTCATCTAACCCCACATTTGAAGGCTTTATCCTTCACAATGCACAACTAGAGCCCCTTTGGTTCTTCATACAAAGCCATCCAAGACACCCTCTGGTTCCCCCACAATAATCATGACCAACCAGAACCCCTCTGGTTCGATGGTCATAAAAAACTATACCACATGAGTTTTTGAAAGATCAAAACTTCATAATTCGCATTTATCTTACAATTAAATAGGATTTAAATTTTTTTTGGGTCTATCCTTTTTAATTTTCTTTAAGAATTATTCTCTTGGTATTTTTCTTTCAAAAATTATAATTTTAATCCCAATCGTCA